TTGCCCTGGAATTCCACTTTTGAGAAATAATAACCTAAATTAAGGGGGAGGGGTGAATGCAGCTTGTACAAAAACACTCGCAGGGTTCAAAATCATAAACAAATACACTACAGTGAGTTTTAAAGCCTGAGCTTCAAAGTCCAACTTCTCAGAAAATACTTTAGAGCTATTTCACTGATTTTCAATGACTTGTGTGTGCATTATGTCAGTACACAAAGAGGCGTATGTGGAATGGCATTCAACTCACATACAGCTACGACAACCATCTCAAACACAGCCGTGTCCAAGAGCCTCTGCAGCAGAGGGTGGCCATGCCTGCCTGCAGCTGCCCACAGCAGCACAGAGGGCAGCCTGTCAGCTCCCCCGACTGCAGGAAGAAACGAGGACAATGCGCAAATCAACTGCCTGGCTTCTGGGACTGAACGAGCCATCAGGAAAAGGAGCTGGTGCCGTTGCCACGGCTGATTTTATATCTCAGTAACCAAGAAAGGAGCTTGCCTCAGTCAAGAAATCTTATTTAACATTCTGAAGCGTGGGAGCGAGGGAGGGAGGCAAGATCTATCATACGGTTTTAGCTGCCACCCCTGCCTGCCCTGACTGGCTGATGTGGGATCCACAACACAAGGAGGAGGTTGCGTGGAAGGCAGCTGCGAAGTGAGGGGCACGTCTGCACTGGCCTACTGGGAGGTCAGAAGGTCAGAAGCTCTAACCAGGAGTCTGGGGACAGACATGGGGGTAAGAGGTGGCAGCAGAGCTCCGGATGCCATCTCTCTCCATCCCTCTTGTCTCATGAGGCCGGGCTGCACAGCTGTAATGTGACGGGAGCCCTGCCTGCACTAGTGTTCTGGGGCTGCCCTAACATAGACCTAACCATAGACCGGGGACTTAAAGCAAGACAGATGCATTCTCTTCCAGTTCTGCACACCAGAGCTTGGAAAGCAGGGCCATACTCCTGCGGAGACACTAGGGGAGGATCCTTCCTGCCATTTCCAGCTTCTGGTGGCTCCAGGTGTTCCTGGGCTTGTGGTTGCATCCTTCCCTCTCTAGCCCATCTTCACCCAGCCTTCTCTCTTCTGTGTCTATCTGTGACCTCTTCTGTTTCTTATAAGGATGGTTGTCACTAGACTTAGGGCCCACCTGGATAATCCAGGATGCTTTCATCTTGAAATCCTTAATCACATCTGCAAAGATCCTTTTTCCAAATAAGGCTACATTCACAGGATATCTTCTGGGGCCCTTTAGACCAGAGCCCTCAACTTACTTTCCTTAACCACTCCCAGCACCTGCACAGGGTTGGGCGCTTAATGGTAAGAAACCAACAAACATCCGGAGATCAACCAGACTAGCATGCTCAGCCTTGTCTGAAGGATGAGAAATGAAGTCCGGCAAGGCTAAAGTGATGACCAAAGAGAGGTAGCTGGCTGGCAGGGGGATGTCACCTAAAGCCAGGTCCCTTGATTCATATGCAGCTCTTCTATATCTACAAGTTTAAGGGACACAGTGTACCAGGTTCCACAAAGCAGATGCCACGTGGCAAATAGAAGACAAACAGGATCTTTGTGAATCAAAGCAATCTGCTTATGGATTTATAATTATTATTTCAGATATGTGATCAGGGAAAAAATACAGCCCCAAAGGGTCATAAGTAAATAAATAATTAAATCGAGAACCCAACAAATCCCTTAGTTCCCATAAATAATAATGTTTCTATGATACATTCTGAATTTACTGCACTAAAGGCTACATGGTCAGGAAGGGGGTGGAGTCAGGCAGATCCCCACATGGGAAGAGGACTCCAATGCTCTACGAAACTCTTTATTCAGGGACTTTATTTCTCACAAGTGAAGCTGCATTAAGAATGCAAAGCCATCTATTGAGAATAAAGGCACTGTTAAGGGACCACTACTACTTACGTAGTGTCTCAATTGTAGAGGGATTTTCTACCCTACCCCTGCCAGATTTAGTGGAAAACATACAGAAGCCATGTTCATGGGCGATGACAGGTGCCCCTTGGTCTACAGCTGGTTCTGCTTTATTTTTATAAACTCTGTGAGTAGCAGGTGCTCAGCCAAAGCAAACTACAAAACCTAAAGGCTGCCAGGGCACAAGTGAAGCCTAGGCTCAAGCAGAATACACACAGAGATGGGGACAGGCTTGCGGGGGTTTTACTGTAGCTCAGGGGGCCCCAGTATAAGAGTGGGATGTCCAATCCTCCTCTCTAGGCACAGTGCCCCCAACCTGCCCGGTGGCTGCACCTCACATTTACCTGACATGGGGAACCCACAATGACACCCACAGGCCTCTGAAAACCACACTGGGAGCCCTCAGTCCTCCCTCCCCCTGCATGGGCCAAGCCTTCCTGAGGCACTCCCAGTCCTCAGAGCACTGGAAAGAGCCCTTTGGGACCAGGCAGGTGTTGGCTTGTGGTCTAGCACCCTGTGGACAAGCTACTTACCTTCTTAGAGCCTCAGTGTCCCAATTTTTAAAATGAGTTTGCAGACAATTAAACGACATTGTAAGCCACCTCACATAGAGCCTAGCCCAAAGCATGTGGCCAATGAATGGTGGCCATCACTAAAAGAAGTGAGTGCTTTGGCCGCTAGCCACGTCCCTATTCCACTTCTATCTGTACATACAAGTATACAAAACACACAAAAAAAGTAACACGGCTTTGGAATATCCATGAAGTAGTCAGGGTCACCTCTATCAACAAAAATCCTTAAGAGGAGAGCTATATAGTAATAATTACGTATCTATAGAAATAATATAATGTAAAAGGAATCATTGGTACATTGTTATAATCACAACAGATTCCGAATACATGGCCATGGGCTCAGAGACCAGTGACTAAGACTGGCTTCTGTGCATGCATAAGGTACAACCAGACCCTGTGGGGAAGGCTCACCAAGAGCTCCCCACTCAGAGGGAACCTGCACGAGAGAATCGAGACTCATTCCATGCTCTGCATTGAGTTCAAACAATGGAAGGCAGAAGAGTCAAGGCCAGTGTTTTAAGGCAGGGTTGTCACTGACCTCAGTCCACGGAGACAGCAGCCCCAAGATCACAGGACTGCCAGTGCAGTCTGGGCAGCTAGAGTAGCCAGGGCTGCCCCTGCAGAGGGTGAGGCAGCCATTGCTCATGCTCTCATACCTCCATAGCCATGTGAAACTCAAGTGAGGCAGAGGCTGTGAGGACACCTGTGAATGTCAAATAGGATACAAAGGAAAGGAACTAGTGGTATTCACAGGAGCCCACAGCTTGGGAAAAGGCTCCATGATGTGTAATTAATGCACAAGGTTCATATGTTGGGAGCGAAGGGACGAGGGACTGAGCTGCCAGGTGATGGGGAGATCATCACAGCATTCACAGGCAGGAGAAGAGCACTTCTCTAGTCTCTGGTTGCTGAATGCCACCGAGCAGGGGAAGCACAACAGGGCAAGATTTAGAACAAGAACTGTTGCCATCTGCCACTGGTCATCAGCAGAGGTGGGCCCTGGTGGCCAGGAGAGTCAGAACCAGGCACAGGTCAAACCCAGCCCCACTACTGGAAACTCTGCACACCACGTGTGGGGCCTCAGAAGATCCTGTTTAGGATGAAACACTCACTAAGAGAGGGAGTGGTCAGGGCCATGGCAGCACCAAGAAGCATGCTGTCCAAGGTCAGCTCCACCACCGTGCAGCCCAGAGTGAGCTCCACCTTCTAGACTTGCTAGTGAGACCAGGGTTAAGGCTGATCCAGGTTCCCACGGCACTGACAATATTCTTCATTCAGTCCCTGGCTCACATGTCCTTCCGAGCATGAGGGCAGCCAGGACAGAGCTACTGTGGGTCAGAGAGGCGGTCTGTCCCTGCTTGTCAGTACTGGCCAGGGCAGCCCAGAGAGAAGCCTACCCCCACCAAGCATGTCTTAAAACTGAAGAAACTGAAACAGATAATTTGTTTCTTTATTGCAGACTTATTTATTGCACAAATGAAGAATATGTCTGTACACAATTCTGAAGTTTTTGTCCAAAGACTTATTCTTTTTCATCTGTATCTCTTTTACCATGCCCTGGTTAAGCCCCTCAGTAGGAGGAAGGAGGAAACAAGTTAGTCCAAAATATGCTGCACCTTAATTTTTCTGTAGGAGGCCTCCACCTGGACACCAGCACAGTCACCACTGACAGGGTTCAAAGCTCTCACAGGATAAAGCTGGGTGCAGTGGCACACACCTATAATCCCAGCTACTCGGGAGGCTAAAGCAAGAGGACTGCTTGAGCCCAGGAGTTCAAGACCAGTCTGGGCAACATAATGAGATCCAGTCTCTTAAAAAAAAAAAAAAAAAAAAAGGAAAGAAAGGAAGGACAGGAAAAGAAGAGAAAAGAAAAGAAAAGAGAGGGGAGAAGAGAATAGAAGAGAAGAAAAGAGAAAAGAGAAGAAAAGAGAGAAAAGAAAAAAGAAAAGAAAAAAGAAAAGAAAAGAAAAAGAAAAAGAAAAGAAAGCAGCAGCTCTCACAGGGGAGAGGGGACAAACCACCAACAGATCTGCCCAGGGGTGCAGCCCAATTTGTGAGAGTCTGTTAACTGGCCACACGTGAGCTATTCATTTGGATTCATTCCTTAATCTCACTGTCATGAACTCTTACCTATGCCTAGCCACCAGCGGGGTGAGGAGAGCTGTTTGGTCAAATGAATCTGTTTGTCTGAATTTATTAACTTTGCACTCTCCAAACTGGCATCTGTGAAAATTAACCTGGCTTTTCATTTTCAATTTACTTGTTTTTGCCTTAGATATAAGGAGAGAGAAGCTCTCGAGAATGACCAGGATCTCAAAAGGCCAAAGCTCAAGAGTCCATGGAAGTGCACTGTAAGCAGTATGCAAAACGCTTGGGAAAGTCCTTCTGCCCCGACTGCTAAAATTAACAACACTGCGCAAGTGTAAAGAGACTCACTGGTCAAAAGGGGCGTCACAGCAGGTTCAAAGTCTACCTGGGAGCTCTGCACACAGGTGCCCACACTTACCAAAACACACTTCCCCGGCTCAAGGCTCCAGAGAGAACTCTCAGTGTTGATCTTGTGGGTGAGCTTCCCTTCCATGAGGATGCGCTCCCCATTTTCCTCCAGCACAGCCACACGGATGGAGCCACTGCTAAGGGCCACCGAGACCTGGGAACACAGAAGAAAATCATCTCCACTGTGAGGCTGACCACTGGCATGCTGTACAGTGGGAGGGATGATGGTTTCCAAGGTACCTGACCACACACCACAACACTGTCATCGGGATCACCAGGGACCTCAGTGAATAAAACTATACCAGCCTAATTTACACCCAGAGAAGGCCACAAACAGTCAACTCCTTCAGGTAAATGCACCAGAAAACCTTGGTAACCTAAGATACTGTGGTGGAAGTTGCTGGTTTTCTACCCAAATCTCTTCCCCGTTCTTCAGTTAGGGGAGATCAAGTCTCACAGCAGAAGGCAAGCAGAAAGGACAGGGAGACAGGTGGTGGGTGCTTCCCCCTCACCTCCCCTTGTGGCTATCTGGAAGGTGCAGGAGCCTAACCCTGGACAGCAGCCAAGAGTGCTGAGCAGCCACATACCTAATGTGCCCACCCCAGGACTGCTATGCAAGGAACAAGCACTACCTCTTCCTTCCATGAGCCATTGCACTGCTTTGTGACTACAGCTTGGTCACAAAGACTGAGACCAGTTCCTTTGGTTTTGCATTTTGTCTTGGTTCTTTATGAAACACAGCCTCTCCAAGCCTCAGTTCACGCTCTTCCCTCTGAGCTAGTCCTGGCAGAGACTGCCCATGTACCCTCCCCATTGCCCTGGGAATACCTCTCCCTGCTGGGAGGACGGTCCCCTTTCCTTCATACCATCTATCCCAGCCAATAAGACTGTATCCCAGGAGGTTTGTAAGGTCAGTAATTAGGAGAGGAAAGAAAACCAAACTCTTGTTTACATAAGTGTTTTGTAATGTAAAAATCTTTTTATAATATACTAAATAGACACTGGAGGCCAGTACTTACAACTTTTTTCTAACAGGTGTGTGGAATCAAACCACACACCTGTCCCATGTCACTCAGTAGATGGCTCATTAAATGCTTATAAAATAATCGAAGAAAAACCCCTGAAGAAAAACTCTCAAAGTTACAGATTTTTTTGAAATACCGTTTAGTATTTGCCAATGAAATTCAATACTGTAACCTAACTGTAGCTTAAGTATTCATAAACTTAAAAAGGAAATGGGAGACACGATGAGTGGCAGCCACCACCATTAGGCCATTCAACCTAAGCGAAAGAGGATTTCTAGGCCGTGCAGTGAGCAGTACAAGGTGGCAGAGGGCTACCTACCAGGTGGACACAGCCAGGACATTCCACTGGCCATGGGCTGCACTGCCAGATTCACATGCAGACTCCGAGGAGGCATCCTCCCATGAGACTGTAGTTCCACTTGCACTGATCTTTCATAGGACAATTTACCATGGGAAAGACTGTTTACTTGGCTGGTCCTGTCCAGTGATGGGCACAAATGAGCTTTTCTCCCTAACTTCTAACAGCAAGAGGAACACAAGCAAATGTGTCAGTGGCCCCACTCACTCCTGAAAGGATCCAGACATGCCAGGCCACGTATAACCATGAATTTGCATGATATGGAAACCTAACACAGATGGCCAAGGCTTCTCAGTCCTGGCCTCCTGAGAACAAGCTCGCTTAACAGATAGAATTCTCCCAGGCAGCTCTACATAACATGATAATTTTGAAATTTGGGCAAGCTTCTCACATTGCCTACCCAGGGGAATGAACCAACTCATCAAGGGAGAAAACCAGACAAGGGATACTTCTGGGGAGCCAGTTGAAGACGTCACACTGGGAATAGGCAGTCATCTCTCTGACCTCCTATGGCCTGCAGAAATGACAGACAGAGAAAAACCCCCAACAGTGAAAGGGGTGGAGTGGGAGGTTCAAGAGCACATGGGATGTCAACAAATCTGCTGATAACAGGAGGAGAGGAGTGGGAGGCAGACCCTATAGGGCAGGGGACATCGGGAAGCCATAGCTACATGGGCTCTCACTGAGAGTCAGCAGGTACAGAGGGCAGGAGTGAGGACAGTGGCACATATGGGAATAGCAGTGCCCCTGGAAGACCTACCAGAACAGACAGCAATCCTACTGTTTGCTACAGAGCAACAGAGGGCCCTGCTCCAAAGACAGTGACCAGCAGTCTGAGGAGCCACCTGGCCAGACTCTTAATTAAAATTAAGTTGGCATTAATCTGAAGTAAATTGTTATAAAATACAATGTTAATTGTAATCTCCAGGGCAAACACTAAATTTAAAAAAAAAGCCTCCAAAAATATAGTTTAAAAACATCAAGGGAATTAAAATATTATACTACAAAATACCTAGCCAGACTCTTAATTAAAATTAAGTTGGCATTAATCTGAAGTAAATTGTTATAAAATACAATGTTAATTGTAATCCCCAGGGCAAACACTAAATTTAAAAAAAAAGCCTCCAAAAATATAGTTTAAAAACATCAAGGGAATTAAAATATTATACTACAAAATACCTATTTAACACAAAAGAAAGCAGTAATGAAGGAACAGCAGAACAAAAACAAGGAACAAAATTCTCAAAACTTACTGCAAAGCTACAGTAATCAAAACAGTGGCAAAAAAATACACACATGTATAGATGAATGGAACAGAATTAAAAGTCCTGTAACAAATCCATATATTTATGGTCAATTGACTTTAGACAAGAGTACCAAGACAATTCGGTAAGAGGAGAATAGTCTTTACAACTACTTGTACCATGACAAAAAGAATGAAATTGGCCTACTACCTCAGAATGAAGCCGAACCACTACCGCTACCTCATATCATATAATGAAATTTTCAGCTGAAAATGTATCAAAGACCTAAATGTAAGAGCTAAAATTAAAACTCTAAGAAGAAAATATAAGAGTAAATCTTTGTCATCTTGGGTTAGACAGTGGTTTCTTAGATACAACACCAAAAGCACATGCAACCAAAGGGAAAAAAAATGGATAAATTAGACTTCATCAAATTTAAAACTTGTGCTTCAAAGGACACTATCAGGAAAGGGAAAAGACAACCCACAGGAGAAAATATCTGCAAATCATGTATCTGAAAGGTGTAGTATCTAGAATGTGTAAAGAACTCTTAAAACTCTACAATAAAAAGACAAACAACCCAATTAAAACATGAACAGAAGATTGAACAGGTACTTCTCTAAAGAAGATATACAAATGGACAGTAAGTACATGAAAAGATGCTCAATATTATTAGTCATGGGGGAAATGCAAATCAAAACCACAACGAAATACTACTTCATACCCAGTAGGATGGCGACAATTAAAAAAAAAAAAAAACTCAAAAAACAAAACAGACAATAACAAGTGTTGGTGAGGATATGGAGAAATCTGGACCCTCATACATTTCTGGTGGAAATGTAAAATATAAAATGGCACAGGTGCTTTGGAAAACAGTCTGGAAGGTCCTCAAAAAGGTAATTATGGAGATATCATATGATCCAGCAAATCCACCCCTAGGTATATACTCAAGAGAACTGAAAACATATGTCCACATACGGGTGGTAAGGGAAAGACTGGGGGCAAGTGGGTGCACAGTGGGGAATACAGAGACGCCTCCTTCTCTCCAGCCTCATCCTGCAGGGCAAGTCCTGAGATGCTGGTGAAAGACATGCGTGACAGTCTGAATAGAGATTGAGACCACCTTAGAAATGATCTCGTGGCACATTTATGTTTGGGGAGATGCCTTCACAGGCCAGAGGTTGTCACCCTTAGGTTCTGATGAAAACCCAACCACCAAGGGCCCTCTAAGACTAGGAACGCTACCCAGCAAGCTGAGCAATGTGTCTCTTAACCAAATAATAAATAAGATAAAGATACACATGCAAGTATACTTTGTGTAGATATATTCAAAAAACACATCCACGTTTACTAAGCAAAATTAAAGTTATATATTCAATACAAGACCTGGTTTAAAACCCAGAGTACTCCCCACCAACACCCCGCACCGCACTTATCCACATACAACAATTTGCAACAGATGGTGTGTACAATCTAGAACATTTCTTTCAGTTACAATTTTTAAAAATCAACACTAGGGTCCATTTGTTGATTCAGTTATATCTAATTTTGTTCAATTTCCTGCTTCAGCCTCCTGAATAGCTGAGACTACAGGCATGTGCCACCCAACTTGGCTAATTTTTCTATCTTTTGTAGAAACTCAATATGGGCCAGGCTGGTCTCCAACTCCTAGCCTCAAGCATTCCTCCCACCTTGGCCTCCCAAAGAGTTAGGATTACAGGCGTGAGCCACCACACCCCCAGCCTCCACTTGTATTTTAACAGTTGCATTTTGGAGTGCCTTTACCTAATCAAATATAATAGGAAGGTCAATTCCAAGTGATAAAATTCATAGTGTTAGACTATTGTTTTTAACAAAAGAAAGAGGCCCAAATTGCCATGGAGAAGGGCCTTCTATGAGGAAAACAAATCATTTCTGTAACAATTAAATTGGAAACCCTTAGCAGAATTTAGACAAAACTACTCAAATAGGGTAAGAAGATCAAAGTGGATCATGAGGCAGCAAAAGTTTAAATGACTGACCATCAAAGAAACTCTACCCAAAATGCAATCTATTCCTTTCTAATTCTGATTCAATTCTAGAAGCCACCAAGAATTTTAAAAGGACTGATTAATTTAACCACATATATATTGCTGAGCTCTGCAAGGAAAAAACATAAACCAACTCAAAAGATTAATAACAAAATGGGACCACAGATCTGCAATATGTATCACAAAGGTCTAATCTTTCTAATATATACAGAGCTCCTAAAAATCAGTAAGAAAAAGTACAACGAATTAATAGAAAATGGGCAAAAGATAATAATCAGTTCAAAGGAAAGGCACATGTAGAAAGACAATCCACCTCATTCTAAGAAACACAAATTCATACTATACCTAGATGCTATTTTTCACCTATTCAACTTATAAAACCCAAAAGTTTTAAACATACTATTGACAGCAAATTTGTGAAAAACCAAGGACTCTTGTATATATAGCTGATGGGCATGTAAGTTACTATAACCCCTATAGAAGGTAACTCGGCAATA